ATCTTTATGATTACCGTATCTGTGTGAAATTAGAAAATGTGACTCCTCCAATTTTGTTCTTATTTTTCAAGATTGTTTTATCTATTCTCAGTCCTTTTAATTTCTGTATGAATTTTAGGATTTTTTTTTACTTGTGTGAAGAAGCCAACTGAAATTATGATTAGGATTATAGCTGAATCTGTAGATTGATTTAGGGAGTGTTGCCATCTTACCAATATTAAATATTCTGATACATGAAATGTTTTATCTTTCCATTTCTCAAATCTTCTGCAATTTATTTCAGCAATATTTTGGGGGTATGTTTTGTATTAATACTTATTTTTTTTTTTTTTTTGCTATAGGGCGCGTGCGCTCGCCAGACAGTCAGAGAGAGACAGAGAGACAGAAAGCGAGAAATCACCCCACAGAGGGGATGGTCACGCCGCAATCCCTTCTCCTCCAATCTCCTCTCGGGATCCTGGGCACGCAATCCCTTCTCCTCCAATCTCCTCTCGGGATCCTGGGCACGCACGCACACGTACCTGGCGTGAGTTTTAAGCCACCGGGTCCGGGACACGAACCGTGGTCGACTACGTGGGAGTCCAGCGACATAGCCATTACGCTAACTGCTGGTTCCCTATTAATACTTATTTTGATGAAGTTATTCTTATTCTATTCTTTTTTATATTATTATACATTGTTTCTTTTGTTTTAGTTTTTGCTTTAGAGTACGTATGCTTGCTGGAGAGAGAGACACGGTGAGGCTAGAGGGGTGTGTGTGTGTGTGTGTGTGTGTGTGTGTGAGAAATCACCTCCCAGGGAGGGATAGCCACATTTTACTCCATTCCTCCACTCTTTTCTTGGGGTCTTGGTCATGCATGCATCCATGCCTGGCATGTTTTTCTAGCTGCCGGGTGCAGGACTTGAACTATGTGGTCGGCCATGTTGGATCCAGCACTTAACCACCATGCCACCAGCTGGTCCGTAATTGTTTTCTTTTCTTTCTTCTTTCTTTCTTTCTTTTCTTTCTTTCTTTCTTTCTTTCTTTCTTTCTTTCTTTTTTTTTGTTTTGTTTTGTTTTGCTTTGGTTTTGAGAGTGGTTTTTGCTATAGGGTGTGCGTGTGCTTGCCCAAGAGACAAGAGAAAGAGACAGAGCAATAGAAAGTGATAAACCACTCCCTGGGGGGATGGCCACTCTGCAGTCCTTTCTCCTTTAGTCACCTTTCAGGATTTTGGGAACATACGCACACATGCCTGGCATGAGTTTTAAGCCACTGGGTCCTGGACTTGAACTGTGGTTGACTACATGGGAGCCCAGCAATGTAACCATTACACCATCCCCTGGTCCCCTTAATTGTTCACTTAATTTAGTTTTCAGGTTATTAATTGCTAGTGTAAAAAACTACAATTTATTTTTGTATGTTGATCCTGTATGTTGATCCTGTATTGTGCAATGTTGCTGTACTCATTTATTAGTTCTAATGTCTTTTAATGCATTCCTTTGTATATGAATCTCCTGTTTTTTAAAGAGAGATTTTTACTATAGAGCATATGTACTCACCAGCGAGACAGACAGAAAGCGAGAAATCACCGCCCAGGGGGGATGGCCATGCTGCAGTCCTTTCACCTCCATTCTCCTCTTGGGATTTTGGGCACACACACACACACACACACACACATACACACACACACACACGGCATGAGTTTTAAGCCACCATGTTCAGGACTTGAGTTGTGGTTGACTATGTGGAGATCCAGCAATGTAACCATTATGCCTTCTTCTGGTCTTTATTATTATTTTTTAAATTTGTTATAGGGCATGTGCATTTACCAGAGAGAGAGAAAGTAAGAAAGCAAGTTGCTGGGTCTGGGACTTGAACCATGGTTGGCCATGTGGGAGTTCTACGTCTTTACCACCATGCCACCTGCTGGCCACCATCTATATATTTCTTTATTGCTAGATATTTATTTCCACCCCTCCTTTTTATTTTTTAAAAACTATTAGTACATTTTGGACTTTTTGCTTAGGATAGAGTCTCAGAAGAGCAATTACTAGATCAAAAGATAGTAAACTTTTTTTGTCTCTTTACATATTGCCAAATTGCTTTCCAAAATGCCAGAATAGCAAAAACAGCTTTTTAAAATTGTTTTTGTCTAGGTGTTCATTTTCCCCCTAGATACCTCAAACCACTTGTTCTCTGGGAAGTTTAGAGTCAAATATCAACTACATATGTTTTTTAGTGATATGAATCAAATAATACTTCATGTGAAAAGTCATCATTAGATCAACCATGGCATGGGAATACTATGTGAGAGGGATGAAGATAGGCATGAGAATTAACCCTAGAATAGCAAGTGAAAAATATAGGCATACTGGATTCATCATCTTTTTAAATAGAAGCTCATCAGAAAAATGTGGAACCGTAGGTGAGAAAAGAAGCACTAGGAAAAAGAGTTAAAACTAAAATACAATTTTTCATCATCATTGTGTGTAAATTGTTTTTTTATCTAGTTATTTATTCCTCTTATTCATATTACTACTCATGTTTATTATAAATGGAACAGAATTGAGTCCGCAGGAATAAATTCCCAATCATTCAGTCAACTGATTTTTGACAAGGGGTACCAGTCAATCCAGTGGGAAAAGGAAACCTCTTCAGCAATTGGTGCTGGAAAAACTGGATTACCACCTGTAGAAAGATGAATCTGAACCCCTACCTGTCACCTTTGACAAAAATCAAGTCAAGGTGGATCAAGAATCTAAATCTAAGACCCCAAACTATTAAACTGCTTCTAGAAAACACTGGGGAAACTCTGGGAGACATTGGGGTAGGGAAGGACTTCTTACATAAGACCCCCAAAGCACAGTAGATAATCCCCAAAATAGACAAGTGGGATTACATCAGACTAGCAAGTTTCTGCATGGCAAAAGACACAGTAATTAGTGTGAAT